AATAAAGAAAAGGCCAAAATTTTTGAAACAAGGCTGTTTAGATGTAAAATCTAGTGCTGAGTAAGTTTACTTAAGAGTACTTACTCAGTTTAATTAATAAAATATTGAGAAAATTTGATTTTTTTGAAAATTTTTTTTGGTTAAATTTGATACAAGTGATGTACAGATTAAGTTATTATCAGAGTTCATAATATTTACTTTTAAATTGCTACTAAAGACATAAATTTGTTCTATATTTTTTTTTTTTTTATTGTTACAACAAAGTCTTGATGCTAGTTAATTTTTATTAAATTATTTGTAGATTTATATTAGTTAATAAGAGTACAATTAGTCATATGTACAACTTTAATTATTGTTTATTTAAAAATTGGTCAAGAAACCAATCAAGTCCTGTCACAAAATGACTGTTTAAAAAAAGGTCGATTAAATATCAACTTGTGTAGAGATTGGACCCGTTGAGAAAATCCTAACCGGTATTAGTAAAAATAATCCCGTGATATTATCGGATAAACTACCGGTAATAATACGAATCCAATCCCTAAACTTTCGTAAAAAAAATGAATGTGACAAATACCTTGAAAGACAGATTCATCATATTCTCCCGGTGCATTCATCAATGCGGGATACATCCTATAAGGTTCACCTGGAGGTCCTTCACTTGCAGCCATAATTCTTATACAATTAATTCCATTCTCTTTTAAAGTTTCTAGATCTTTCAACACTCTAGACCGATTCCCTTTTTCCATTCCAAGGTTCATGGCCTGCCAGTAGTTCGCTCCAATCACATAATATGATTTACTGTTTAGAGTAAACCTAGTGCCGTCGACTTTGATAAATGACTCAGCAAGTTCCATTTGTTGTGAATGACCTTGTACGAAATAAGGTTGAACCTTCAGAAGAAAAAAGCATGAAATAGATATTACAAGTAATACGAAACACAAAACTAATTTCTTTTTATTGGACAAATTTTTGCCAATCAAAAACATTGAATTGGGTATCGATGTCGATATTGAATTCTTGATTTTTTATTGTTTGAAAGAATTCCAAAAGATATATTGTACGAAAATATGATAAAAACGGGTCGAACTTTTTAAAATATATGGCGTTAAAAGAAATTCGTGTTCTATCATATTATTACACCGTAAAACATGAATTTCACAGAGTTTGAAAGTAATCAATCAATCAAATGCTACTATGATTTAGAGTCTTTGCCTTGAAAATCAAATATGGATCATATGATTTACTATGTCCCATAACGTCATTTTCAAGGCAAAGACCCCATTTGTTATGCTTCAATAAAAGAATTTCTATGTTTAAAAACAAACCGGTAGCTTTGTACGTAGAACGTATTTTAATTTATAAATTAGTTTTTTTGAAAAAAAATAATATTTAAATTAAAAAAATTTAAGTACCCAAAAATTTTCTTAACGCTAGGATCCTTGATCCAAAAATTCGATTTGGGACTGGTCCATAGTTTATAAAGTAGATACAAAATCTCTAAGATTATTTGATTTTACCCTGTTTCATGTGATTAATAGAAGTAACTTGGGTTTGCCGAATTTTTTTTCTTTTACAAACACTACGTACTATCTTGATTTCTATATATCTGTCCTAATTGCATTTCCTCCATTATTATAATACATTTTATTAATAGTGTCACCTATACTTTAAGAGATCCCGATAAACTTTCGTACAAATAAATTATACAGATTAAATCATTTAAATAATAAAATTATTTTTGCATTTTTATTAAAAGATATTTATACGTGTTTTTAGACCAACCAGCATTCATATTGTTACGAGAGGAGGAGAAAAATAATTCAAATTTCTAACCTAATGTATAAATTGTTTAAGATTATACTTATTACTTATAAGAGTAATACCAAAAAAAAATTCTGTATGCTAAGTAATTCTATAGAGCACAAGTATATTTTATAAACCGCTTAAATTCTCATTTATTTTACGCTAATTTACCGTAATACATATAAAAAGTCAAAATGTTATATACTATACATATTTGAATATGTTAAGCTCAATAATTTGGATTGAAACTGGGCCATTGTTCCAGTTTATACGTAAGTCTAAGTTGGTCCAATTGCCCAACACTGAACAGTTACCATACAGCGCTGCATACAGTACCCCCCTGGAAAAGTACCCCCCCCCCCTTTGAATAGTATCGTGGTACTGTTCAATTGTAAATTTTGACATTTTTGATACTAATCAATCTTCAAAAAACTCATTTTTACTATACGTATTCATACGTTATGTGATTAACTCCAGGGCTAAAACGACACATAGTATACGGTGGCCATTTTCTGCGCCACTTCCTATTGTTTAAAGTATCTTTTTTGATACATCCGATTACTAGTATGAATATTTAGTTTAGATCATTTTTACTGTATATAAATATTGTATTATACGCATAATCATACTGCACAATTGTTCCTTGAGCCAATAAAATCTTAATATAATATGAATCAAAAACGAAACTTATTGAATGGCCGGCATTTACTATGTCCTGATTAACTCACATGGTCAAAACTGTCACAGTACCCCCCTCGTATAGTACCTATCTATTCACACAGTACCCCGGTACTATTTAATTAATACCGGTACTTTTTAAAAAAGACTGGGGGATTTTCCCTGTATGATATTAGCGAATTTCATAATTTCTATGTTGGTGCATCAAAAAGGTACCTTTTTTTTTGAGCCAAATGTATCAAAAATGTAAATTTTGTATCACATGCAGAATAATTCCCGGGCAATAATTGTGCGACGTGCCGTTATTTTTAGGTCATCCTTTCAATACGTGTTTTACGCGAATGAACGAAAATCAAATATTTCAAGTAAATTTCAATTTCTTTTACTTTAGTAATTATTTTGAATTAAACACCTTTTTAACAATTTTATTTCATAATTTAGATACAGTATATCCGTTTCGGACTACCTTTGGTCGAAAAATTAAAAGGTGAGTAGAGTTTAGACGGGGCTTTTTTGCCAGGCGAACTTGAGGTTCTTAGAACTCAACTAGCCGAATTGGTGGACGTTGGAGGCTTATATGGAATTGAATAGTGTTGTGGGCAACCGTTTTTCAAAAAATCAGTGCAAATTTTGATATGGTTTTGCCTACAATACTAGAATTGACTATATCAAGTTGATAACCTCCACTGACCGTCTTTTGAATTCTTTGTTGAGGTCTAATAATTCTGAATGAAGAATTATTTATGTACCTTCCTCTATACAAAGAATCCTTTATTCACATATTATGTTCACATATTAATCATAATTTTCTATAATTTTCTTAGGTCAAATCGAATTTAATAATATTTTCAGAAAATTAGCCTCGAACAAATTTAAATTTCGGACTGTTGATACTGGCTAAATACCGATCGGGAATTTCTAGGTATATTTTAATTTATATTTATTCGATTTATTTATTAAATTATTAATTTAATTCTAATATTTCGTTAATTTTTAGTATTAATTTAATTTTAATATTTTGTTAATTTTTAGTATTAATTTAATTTTAATATTTCGTTCATTTTTAGTATTAATTTAATTTTAATATTTCGTTAATTTTAGTATTAATTTAATTCTAAATTTCGTTAATTTTTAATATAAGATTTTCGAATTAATTTAATTCAAGTTTTCGAAAGTTTTTTTATTAGTTCAAATTTATAATGTTATTTATTGTTTTTAAATAAAGTTTGATTCAAAAAAAATTTTACCACGTGAAAAGTTTTTTCCTGTACTTTAAAATTTCTAAGAACCGACCCCCCGAAATTAAAGTCGAAAAGAGCATAGACAAGAATGAGGTTAATTTGTGCAAGCAGTCACCCATCAAATTTTATTCATTTTCTGACTTATAATTATTTATTTAAATTTATGGGATGAAGACAAACAAGAAGAAAAGGCTAAAAAAAAAAAGCGTAATTTAGATTCTTTTTTGGAAGAAATTAAACGGTTGGTAATCAAAAAATTATAATTACTATATCAGTTTAAATTTATTTATTAATGTTATATTTATCTTAATGAACAATAGTGAGTAATAAGAAAGAGAGGATCGGCTGAGACAAAAACATGCAAAACTTGCTGGCGCTGGTGTGTGTATTTACTAATAATGCTTAAGAAAGACAATAACATATTCTCATCTTTTCTTTATTTGGCACTTAAAATCGGTGCAAATGATATAGAAATTGGTTCTAGCGATGAATTTGTGCCTACTTCTCTAACAGTTAAAGCAAGTTAGTTAAGTCCCAACATTTAAAGATATATATATTTTAGGCTTTGATCGTATAATAAAAATTTTTTACACAGCATTTGAGATCGACCTGGATCACACGATACCGGTGATCCAAATACGACAAATTTATATGTTGGCAATATAAGTTCTGAGGTAATTTTATATTCTGATGATCCATCAATACAATTATCTTTTTTATTGATGTAATCATTTTATATTTTTTTTTTTGCTTTGATAGGTTAATGAAGAAATGTTATGCAAAGAGTTTGCAAAATATGGTCCTATAGCAAGTGTAAAGATAATGTGGCCACGTACTCAAGAGGAAAAAGATAGGAATCGTAATTGTGGGTTTGTCAGTTTTATGGATCGTGAATGTGCAACTATAGCCTTAAAAAATATGGACGGAAGAGAATTGCTTGGCTATGTTATGAGAGTGGGATGGGGTAAATCAGTACCAATTCCACCACAACCTATTTATGGTATTATTATTAAACATACAATATATTTATGTATGCTGTTTTTTTAAAACAATTTAATTCATATTAATTGAACTGTATATTTTAAGTATTGAATGAAGGTGGACGACCACCGCCAA